TACACAAATGATGTTTTTCTCAAACACGCTTGGAAATGTCAGCATTTTTTTGACAACCTTCTTGAAGATAAATCAAAATTGCTGGACCGTTCACATATAAGCGAGCAGCGGCATAAAAATCCATATCTGTCATGTTTAGCGACCAATTAAATTACATAGTGAACTCATATCTATAACGATCGACAATCGAACGATCTTTTAAACCGAAACATGGTAATCAAGGAGGTAACTTATTAAAGATTATATTTAAATTTACAATTGGATTCCAAATAGAGAGCTGTTATGAAAAAAAAACAAATGAATACTATATCACGGGAAAAATTATTGTTGCTCGTCATTTATTTTCCAGAATATCGAAAGTTCTGCCTAGGTGCTACTTGGTTTTGATTTCCGCGCATTATTTGGGAAAAGTACTATACAAGCCTTGGCCATAAGAAAGTATCGATGGACTTACTTTACACGTTTATCCGTCAGTCTTTCTTGCTGGCTGCTGCAGTAATGTACTATTGTGCAAAAGGCTTGATAGCCATTGTTACACGAGCCTAATACGAACCCACCATTCAAAAAAATTAACACAAAGACGTCTAATATTTAACCCTGAAAGACAGGAACCAGCCTATTTCCGTCTATCAGTATTGATGGACTAATGATGAACTTAACGAATGTACAAGCAAGACAGCTGATCGTTAAATGTATTAATCATGTCTCGAATGTTGTACGTGTTGTCAATAATTTATAGAGGAAATTCAGTACGGCAAAATTCAAAGCTATTTTTTTTTAACTTTGTAAGAAATCTTAAGTCACAGCCTTATTTCTCAGATCGAAAAAAAATACGGTATGGAATACTTGCTGTTGGCCCTAAGTTATAATTGGAAACAATAATGACAGATTGCCAGTTTATTGGCCACAATGTTTTCCGAAACTTTTACTATTCTCATTTACATTAACGTCAAAAATACTATCTCCATCCATCTCTAAAAACATTTACAAGTCAAAGACAATAATTTTAAATTCACTTGCTTTTTACTAGCAGATAAATAATACGAGTCTCATCTTTGCTCCTTTTTTAATCAAGTTGAGTTTCATAGTTGCTTCAGTGTAGAGTCGTTAGGAAGCGTGGCCCTTTCTTGCACACACCCGTCCGCAGCATGCATGCATCAGTATGTGGCGCGCGCGCATGACTCACGCGACGTGACTCGCCTCCCGAGCCCGCGCATTGTGGCCGCGAGTTCGTCGCGTTCTTACTTAGCTTGCTTGGCTTACCATCACCATCACTTTCTAAGCGGCCAACGATCGCTTTTTATGCCAATTAAGTGTCATATTCCTTGAAATTTATCACGTGAACCGCGAGCTTTTATTACTTAGGTACTAGGAATGGAATATAGCACGGAGTGATCTATTTCAAATACATATGTATTAATTTTCATTTTATAATGCTATTTTTATTTTTGTAATAACTTATTGAAATGCACATTATTTTTCATAAAATTGAAAATTCCGGTTCAAGCAATCATTATTACTCAACGCGAAGACTAGACATGAATTGGTCTTTATTATTTCTAAAATAAACGCTTGTGTCGTTACTCTATTTCTCTTCTTCTTAAAATACAAAAGTCGACGTCGGTCGTCATTGTTGGAATATCAGGCATACCACAGAAAATCAAGCAAGCATTCATCGGTGCAAGATCATATAAAACGTAAAAAAGAAGTAGGCGAGTAATGTGCGACATCGCCTATGCATGAGGCTACATTATGCATGGATTCCAATCGCGGGCTAAGCCTCTAATAGCCCAGTAAAGCCCAGTTGTAGGCCCACGCCTCTTAACGACGTAAGCCGTATCTTATACAATTGATTCGCGAACTTGAACCTAGCCAATGTCGGATTTAAAAGGACAAATTCGCATTCATCACCTTCGATCAACAATACTGGTTGATCAAAGTTCATCACACTAAACCCTAGTCTCGTACGCCATATATAATTTTTAAGTGGTCACAAAAAAAAACATTTGATCAAAAATTAATCCGATTTTTTCTTTCTCATTTATTGGTATTCTGTCATTATCATTTTGGCATGTATTCCGACGGCTTGACTTTAAACTATGCTGCTGTAATTAGAACGTGGAACCATTAATACTTCGAAGAGATTGCATCCTCTTTATCTATATTTCTCTGAAACTCAAGACATTTCAGAATTAGTGTTCGATTCCATGAGATCAAAATAAAGAATTTTTAAGTTAATTAAAAATGAAATTACTTCTCTGATATCTATTATTATATCTTTGATATCTATACTTCTCCTGACTTTAATAAATATTTCTAATTTATAGACTTGCTACTTTTGTGCAGTTTATGAATTGCTAGTACGAGTAAATTCAGCATATAAATGTTTCTGTTTTACACGCTACATAGGTACCGATGATTATATCTATCTCTCAGGAAAAGTAAACAGGGTCCTAAACATTTTATCGCAGATAAGCAAAAGATGGATGATTAATAAATGCGAATACTTTATGGAAATGCTAGTTATTGCAGTCAGTTCGCGTACGAATACGGGATCTTAATCTACATTTATATAGACAATACTTCCGTCGGCTGCGTTTCCTGCGTTGAATTCTTGCGTCTTGTGATTCCTCCTACATTTTATGTTAAAACTTTTAAATCTAAGGTATTTTTAAATATACCATTCGTATTGATCATTTTTATTTGATGGCTCGAATTGAGAATTTTAGTCTTAAATACAATCTTATCTTTATAAAAAAAACAAGGAAGTTTTATATTATGTTATCAACAAGTCATTTGGGCTTTCAACTTTCGGGTAGCAAGCAATCTTTTGCAGGATTGGAAACTATTTGTGAAGTTTTTATAATATTATTACGTCCTTTACATGGGTATGTACCCCATTGGTCGCAAACGATATGCGCAAGAGTGTTTATTCTTGAGAGCTTTAGCTGCTCCGTGCTTTTTAAGAGAATGACAGAGCATTTCCGTCGTGTCATTCACCGTTCCTTTGTGTCCGTACTGTAAAGAGCATCTATCTCTACGACGACGCTGAATAGCATCTTCGCCCGATATCACAATGGTTACAATGATTATGCTGTTCTGTATCCAACGGATTGAGTCATGCAATTTCTATTGCGTGGGTTTACATTATGGAAGGGATAATATTTCTAGAAATTGATTTTACACTTTATTAGGTACAGATATAATATTGTCATCACAAAATCTGGCAAGATTCAGATGTTTAATAGCCTGTGTAAAGTAGTAAAAATTTACAGGGCAAACACATAAGTAATATTAAATTAACACATAACAAAGTCGATGCAGTATAAATATAACAAATAAGTGCACAATAAAAGTTGCGGTTGACCGCAGCAAAACATGGCCATTTAATTTAATTAGCCTCCAAACGCACTTTGTTGGTGCTGACCGCGAACATGAATATTCCCTCTCGTATGTCGTACGCGTGCAAACATTTATATTAAAGTGGTGCTTTGTAAAAGTGCGATTTTATGACGGGTCGCGTCGCGTACTACATTGAATTTCAAACATCGTTTGGCCTACAAGCTGCAAATGATGCCGCCGATATGGTGGTGCGTATGCGACTGAAATCGCAATATGCGTAGCGGTCGTTGAGTAGCTTCATTGAAATGATAAAGTTGATAGTGTCGTTTCGTTGAATCGATGGAGCAATTGGCGTTGTTGCTGGCGCGGCGTTGTGTATATATGTAAGTGCTGCGGGGTCGTACTCATATCATTAATTTAATTCAGAGTCATTGTCTCTTCCCCCACTAGAGAGTGGGGAAGTCGCGGCCCTACAAAATTGTTAATGTAAGACGAACGTGTTGTGAGACGTTGTTAGTGTTAATAATAATATTCTTACAGTGCCAAATAAAAAATAAAATTGATTGTCTTAACTAAAAACTGAATTGGATGAAAAAATATGTTATGGATACCTGTTGATCAAACTAGATTTTAGGTTTAGAGATTCATACCAGAATTAGGCCCAATATCTATTATACTTGATTTGTTTAAAGACTAAATAATGTCTTTTGAATCGGTAAAATCAAAAAATTAAAATGTGGTGTCGTGGGACACCAGGTAGGAACGAAGTTCCTTCGGCTAATGTAGAATCGACACAAATTGCAAACTCGCTTGTGTATGCGACTGTCGCGCCTGCGCACGTCTCATTTAACGATTATATTCCACGCACCTTTTTCCACGGATTTTTTCTTACGGTTTTACTATCACATTTTTTTCAGTTCGGTCGCGCAGCAAAATCCCTATCCCCTCCAAGCCTGCCGTAAGGAACTTCGTTCCAATAATAATAAAGCCTTGTATTCACTAGGCAACAATTGACGCGCAGCACATGATGCCCAACATGTTCGGCAGCGTTGCACAACAGCGTGAATGTTGAGCATCGTGCGTTGCGCGTCAATTGCATTCATTAAGGTGTCAAGTCAAATGTGTCCTTAATGAGATGTGACTAAGACTTGTAAGATTTATCATGGTAAGATGCAACTTGCTGATGCTCTGGAAACCAACAAAAAATATATGAATAAATCTCGCACGTACGAGGTGACACAGATTTTCTTAGGTCTCTCATCTTAATACAATATATAAATTACGCGTCACGACGTTTGTCCGGGATGGACACCTAAACTACTTAACCGATTGTAATTAAATTTGCATATCTCGTGCAGTTTGATCCAATTTCAAAAATTAGATAGCTTACATCTCAATTTATAGTCGCAATATTATTTTATTGCAAATTAATACTTTTGCTAAGTTCGCCGAGTCAGCTAATTACTTTATAATTTTATTTACAAATGTAACTTTTTCTCAACTGTCGTAAGTTTGAGACACAGTAGCCAAATATTTGTATCAATGATGCCGTGCTCAAAAACAATGATCGTATTGACCTCGCAAATTTAAAAATATGATTTTCGCTCTCATCATTTCTATACAACCAGAACTATTCATTTGTGTCTGTTTTGTTCCAGCCCAGAGGATAACGACCATCCAGTTAGATGGCGTCCAGTACTTTATCTCGCGGATGAATCCCTACAGCCCGGAGCTCAACTACTTCCTAGCCTATCAGTATTGCAGGTACGTGCTCAAAGGTATTCTTCGCGCGCGCACACAAAAAAATCCGTTACACAACATGTTAGTTTCGCGCAACAGATAAACAAGGCGTCGTGACTTGCAATGTCCTTATCTGTTGGCTATCGTGTTTCTATTCCTGCTCTAGTCCTGAACGAGCTAACTGCGGCCGGAGTTAACAAGCGTGTATAGTTCGCTCCAACGCCCTACGACCAGGAAGTTTGTTCAACAGGGACATTTGCATTACCGTTAAGGGTACTGGGAATACTGGCGAACAATATCGGCACTTCTGTGAGCCACTTCCGCGAGCCATTCCCTATGTTAAATACTACCACAAAGGACTTTGCCAGGAAAATTGAGACCGGCGTCGGAGTAATGATTTATTATCGGAACGTTCCCACGTGGAGTTATACAATCGTGGTTAATGCGGTTTGAGATATAGACGTTGACCTTTGCTTCATAAAGGACGAGAACGTGACTTTTATTTTAGAGTAATAATTTATGGTACATATTAATTAAAAATGTAATTGACTTAACATTTCTAATACGAAAAGCAAACTCAAATAATATTTAATGCTGATAATAATTAAAGAATGGAAGAAAAATTTAAATAACTCTGAGACGTTAAGATAGCTTGCAAAACTCAGGAGCACAGCAAAAGAATAATAATAGTTAATAAGTGGATATGAAAATACAATTCAAAAAGAAAAGAAAAGTAATTAAAAGGCGGTTTGACAATAACAAGTTTGGCTACAAATTATTTTGAGAGAACTTTAAATTGTACGAGGTTATAAAATTTGAGTAACATCGTCTCAACAGGTCAATCGCCCAGTGCGGGCGCGCGGTCACGATGTCCTTCCAAATTGTCACGACCTATTTACAGTTCCGATTGTTAACGATGGGAATGCTCCAAGCGCTGATGGAACGTGGCGGTGACACTGTCGTGATCTTGTTCCAAGGATAATGAGCTTTTGCCCTCACTCTCATAATTATAACAGTACAATACAAATGCTGTGATGATGAGAAGACCTAATATAGACTCGGGAATAACAGATTTATTCGGTTCGTTTGACCAGAATGGTCCGGATTATGACAATGATCGTATTGACCACGCAAATTTAAAATATGATTTTTGCTCATGTATAGCAATCTATGTATTATTTGCTTAAAGACCTAGCGTACCGAGGAAACTATATGGCTTTTTTTGTGTATTAGGCATGCAGGAGCTAGCACCATATTGTTGTATCTCTTTAGATTCTATACGGATAAAGGTGAGTTTTGATAGTCTACGAATACTGCGATGTAAAATGCACTAAAATGTTGATTGAAAAATGAGGCGAATATACTAGGACCAAGTGTCACGACTAAAACAACGCATTTATGTATTACTAGCTGTTTCGGCGAACTTCGTACCATCTTGCAATTAAAGGCAGCCAGAATGAGTAACTTAGAAGAAAAACACACGTCCGTATTCCATGATATAGATAAGTCAGAATAGTTTGATTATCAAATCTCCGAGGTTTATATTAGCATAAAATATTTAATTAAAATAAGCCACAATAAGCTCTGCGCATGCGTGACGTGTGCTGTCAATTGTGAAAGATGGCGGAATACCAACAATAATGTACCTGATCGAAATAGTACAGTACGATACGCGTGACCTCGCTCCGCTCGGGCGCTAACTTCACGCCGTGCAGTAATAGGCAACTTAGGCCACAAGTATCGTATACTATTTTATAGCAAGTGTGACATAAACCCGCCCCGGCCGCGGGCAAGAGGGATGCGATTAGTGTTTTGAAAGTAAAATTCATGTATTGCAATCACAAAGAATTGCAATACAGACTGCAAGTCAAACAGCCGTTTCGATTTTTGGGGCAACAAATTCAATGTCACCGACTTCGCCACTTCTTTAATTGCGTCCGGAACAATTTCACCGTTCTCGTATTCGCTTAGGTCACTATCCGAACTGGCCATTTTCGACCAAAATATACATTTCTCGCGGAATGAATTATAGCTAACCGTTTCTCCTTGTTTTGGCTGTCACTGAAAATTCCTAACCTATCGCTAATTTGTCATTTGTTTGCTGTCAGTTTTTAAGCTCCAAATGACATTTAAATGTGTTTCCTTTTATTTTTTCTACATGAGTGAAGTTGGTCAATTCATTTACACACCGTGCAGAAATAGGCAACTTAGGTCACGGAAAAGCGTGCGTAAAGTGCGGGTTTAGGTCACACTGTGCTATAAATTAATTTTCTGTATACATTATTATCGTGAAACTTCCGATATTATAATAGTGTATAACTGTTAAAATATCGGTAGACGTCAAGCGTATCAGGATGCTTTTCGGGGCGGAGACGAATCCAAAAAAATCAGAGTTCATAAAAATCAGTCCAATCGTTTTTTTAGTTATAAGCGGTATAACTAACAGGGCTTTGTTTTTAAAGTTATTTAGATAATAAAGTAGGTTCGTCTTAGTTGGTCGATATTGGATAAGTAATTGCTATGATTTTATTTATTTTTTAAGCATTTAACTGCTAGATGTTTAAATCTAAAGATAAGTTTACTAGAAAAAAAATCCACGCGGACCAGGCAGCGGACGGGACTCGAACCCGCATCCTTCGCTATCCGGGCGAATGCACTGACCATTATGCTACCACGGCCCAATTAGCCGCGTCGAAATTTTCCTATCCTTAAGCTGCAAGGCAGCGCCATCTTTTTGCATTGTAGGTAACCCACAATGTCAAATGAATACTTTTTCAAGTATTAAACATTTGAAAGAAGAAATAGCAATTATAGTTACGATTTTATTTATTTTTAAGCATTTAACTGCTAGATGTTTAAATCTATACAAAAGTTTACTAGAAAAAAATCCACGCGGACCAGGCAGCGGACGGGACTCGAACCCGCATCCTTCGCTATCCGGGCGAATGCACTGACCATTATGCTACCACGGCCCTATTAGCCGCGTCGAAATTTTCCTAGCCTTAAGCTGCAAGGCAGCGCCATCTCTTCGCATTGTAGGTAACCCACAATGTCAAATGAATACTTTTTCAAGTATTAAACATTTGAAAGAAGAAATAGCATTTATAGTTATGATTTTATTTATTTTTTAAGCATTTAACTGCTAGATGTTTAAATCTAAAGAAAAGTTTACTAGAAAAAAATCCACGCGGACAAGGCAGCGGACGGGACTCGAACCCGCATCCTTCGCTATCCGGGCTGTAAGTAATTGCTCTTAAATGAAAAAGTTCTTTAAGAAATGATTTGCAGAAACAAAAGTATGGGTGAGTAGTTTCGTAGAAGCCAAGTTCTGCGCGCGCTTTGTTTTGATTACGACAAGATAGTGCGGAATACTTTGGTTGCAGCCCGCAATGAACGTAACGGTATTACACCGACGGGCGGGCGGGGCGCCATGGCAGTTACAGCCTTTAGTGCAGTCACTCAAATATCAACTATAATATTTTTTACATCATGATTAAAGTTGCGAGAGAGACCAGCTTTGTAAATTCGAAGTCCCGTTATTTTATACAATAGGACAGGATCTTAATTGCAAGGTAATAATAGCGGTATACATAGTGTAAGCTTATGTTGAGGTCTCGACTGTACACCAAAAAACTCCCACGAACACAGGGTCCGTTAATTAACCTACGTATAACACCAAATATTCGGGTTTGTAAAAATAAATTCAATAATGTTATTGAACTGGTTCGTTCAGTCGTGCAAGAATGCTTTGCAAATGTAAAAAAATATCGTAAAATTTATCGCACCTCAGCGGGAACCAAATGGACAATATTTTGCGGGAGGTATGTACGTTGGATTTTTTGGTGTCACAAAGCAAACGAAAGAAGATTCAGAGAAAGAGTTTCATATATCACTGCTTCACTGCAATGAAGTCACGTTTGTTTTTGAATTTGCTTCCTAAAGAGTTTCTCGGTCAACCTCTATGGCAGGTTTATAATCACAGTAAATTTGTAGAATTTATTATCTAAGCTTCAACTTCGAGTTATACATTTATTTTACAAAAATACATGTAAATAAAAGAAAAACTTAAGTCTCATCAAATTGTGACTTTCTTGCACCAGGAATTTATAATGTGAGTGACTTGTGTAATGCACGTCGAGACCTTGTTGCACCAATAAGGTAGTTCATTAAAATTGATCAGAAAAATCTATGGGAAAAAAACTTTTTTTTATCTGCTGCCAAAAGCTATCATTTTAATATATCATAATTTTCATATGATTTAGCGTAAAATGAATTGCCAATCATTATATTAAAATAATGTATTATGAGGGTTGCAGGTATAAACCAGACGGCTCAATTAGTGAAACCTAAAGTAAGGAATTATGTAAACAGTGTGAGGAAAGCAAATAAAGATTGATAGACTACGACAAATAGTGGACTAAAAAAATGCTTTTACCGTTAAACCAAGTTTCAAGTCACTGGTTGCTTAAAATAGAATAAGTATACGTAAAGAATTACCAAACTTGTTTACGGTTGTTAAAAATGACGCAAAAAGTGTAGTTTGCTCAACAACATGTAAATGTAATATTATTACTACAAGACTAGCGGACATAATTCCCGATTATGGTGCGTTGGCGCAGAGGTCCTTAATCTTAAAGAGTTTTCTGAACCTAGCAGGAATGCCTCCTGGCCGACAAGGACGCAGCCTGTCTTTAGCGAATAAATTGCTCGCAGCGTTCAGCATCCCGCATGCTATCTTAGCGCTAATAGCTGAATACGATTAGCTGGGATAGTTACATAGATAAACCCGTACCCGACGTTCAGAGATATTAATGGTGTAGGAAAAGATGTAAGGATTAAACTGTAGCATAGTAATGTAGATACCAAGTGTCCGATAGAAGACATAAACAACACCTCCGTCTTGCATTTTATGTCTAAATATAGACAAGACTATCTTAACAACTACTCGCTATGGAGACCGCATGGTGTAGATATTGTACAAGTCTACGAAGAAGATAGTTTCGAAAAATATTCTACTTATAGTTACCGTCACGAAAATAATGTCAAAATAAATAGAGGTCACAACTTTTGAACTGAATTAAAATAACCTAATACAAGTAAAAGCAATAAAAAAACTCAGGCCGTGCATAATGCGTATAGAACGCACATATTTTTAAATGACACTACATTGTTTACAATTCCACAAAAGAGGGAAAGACAGCACGTTTGTTATCCATAGAGTTTGGTCACATTTGCCTTGGGATGAGTAAGGATGCGTTTCCAACTCAAACTATTACATTATTTAAATATATTTTCACATTGGATTGAATTGAGAAAACATGTATATTAAAATAATGAAATAGGTTGAGTTAGAAACACTAGTTTGGGATGTGTGAAGAAATTGGTAGAGACGTCATAGGATGAATACGTAACAACCGCACTATAAATATTACTAATATAAAACATATTTTTGTTACTTTAATACTTAGATAATTTTCAAATGATTACTATCGCATGGTAAACAAAACCTCGATGAACCGTCAACATATTTAGCGAAGCATCCTATTTCACAAAATATGGAAGGAATATTCTTTAAGTATTTATTATGAAACTGAATATTTATGAGCGATGATCGTATTTCAAATGTATCTAATTTCTTTTCCAGATCGTTAGGTCTCCAACTGGCGTCGTTCGAGACGAAAGAAAAGGCAGACTCCATAACGACGTATCTAACTAATGCAGGTATATTAGATATTTTACGATCATCTATAAATATGTATTTACTTGAACTGCGCTTTTAATGGCTTCCAGCATTTTTTTAAATAAGTCATCCTCTCCACTGTGGTTTATGCGGAGGTTGATACTTTCTTATAATTACTTTACATGATTTCTCTAATTTCTCACTTGTATAATAGTAATTCTTATTCCTATAAAATTCTGGGCCCAGGTGATGATTTACCGAAACATACTTGTTGGATGGAAGTTGATCTTCTTAAGAACAAACATTTGGGATTAAATAAATCTGACTACAACTGACATTTTTCTTTCTTTTTCTTCCTCTCTCTATATATTTTATTCTCCCCGCGACCAGCTTTGCGTGTCATAGATTATACACTTTAATTATATTTTTGTGTAGGCTGGCTTCTATCTACTAGGACAATAAAATTCTGCCAAAGACAGGGTTAGACACTACACTTTAGCAGTTCTGTTTTTATAATTGCACGTGTCTTGCACTATTGGCCGGTTGAGTGACCTAAATGTTAAAATATTATAGAAAAAATAACAATTTTTCAAAATATTACACAATCTACTATGTATTTGCCTTGACATTGACATACAGGGTAACTATGTATCAAACTCGCGGAGCGGAACGTCTGCTCCGCGTGTTTCTTTCATGTTATTTCATAGAGCAGCGCTGTGTGAAGCGGTTCTCCTGTCGCAGCGTTGCTATATGAAATGAAATGAAACTGCACGCGGAGCGGAACGCAGCGCAGGCCCTAAGATGGTTATAGGCGTCACATTGGAAAACACCACGAGTACCTATAGGCAGTATTAGGAGAGAATGTTTGAGGACCACTTGCAACAATTTTGCTAAATCTCGATTTTGTAGATTTAGCTCAAACAATAATGTCATATTGACATCGCCGTTTTGACATTTTTGTATGGGTTAAATTTATATTAGTTTAAGTGGATTCAAGATTTAGCGAATTTGTTACAAGTGGGGTTTAAGAGATAGAAGTTTGGATTAGATAACTGGCCAAAAATTTAGTAAAAGAAGTATCCACCATTGTTAAGAAGTAGTTTAACATTCACAGAGCGGGGGATACTCTTTTAGGAATTATGTTATAAAGGAATGTGGGAGTTTTGGGATCGATATTTTCTTCGTCGATACCACATTCACATAATGAGTTGTCCCTAACTCTTATTTTTTTAATTGTTAACTATAGACAATAAAAAAGACATGCGATCATGTGCCAACCCGCAGAGATAATTTGATGCATGTTTATTTTTATAAAGATTTATCATTACTTATTTATGCAACTGTAGTTTAATGAGGGGTAATTAAACACGAATGTGGGTTTATCATAGTATCACATCACTGTTATTATACCTAATTATAACAGTTGCATACAGTACTTTATTTACACCCATGATATGAATCCTCTATAAAAGATTCTGAAACCATGGGGCGTTCTAAGGACTTAAAATTCATGAAAAGCTTCGGCGCTCTGTGGGTGTTAAGCCCATGTGAATGACAATGTTCTTTTTTTGAAATTCATAATAGTACGCATCCAGCCAGTGAAAATTGTGGCTGCCTGATGAGCAAGCCCTTGGGCACGAAAGGGATATAAGGAAGGCGCGAAGGAGTGTTATTATGAAAGTTATAAAAAAAAAATGGGTGCGTGTACTTATGTAGGCGCGTGAGAAGTTATCCTTCTTTGGCATCGTTTAAAATTAGTTTTTAATTGCATGCAAATAATTAATTACAATAAATTAATAAAAAGTCTGGAAAAGGACACAGTCAATAAAGTTCAGTTTTAATTTGAAAAAATAAATAAATAATCAAAATATTCAATTAAAATCGCTACTGAATATAATTTATTAGAACATATGTGATTTGCACTTGTATGAAACTCAAACACGTATTCCGAATATACAAACTAGAAACATGTGGATAAATATTATAAACTAGCGGCCCGCCCTCGCTTCGCTTCGGTGTAGAGCTGAAGTGTAGACTACAGTTTTTGTTCTCAGGCTTGTATTATACACAATGACATTCATCTATGATTCTTCTTATACCTGCATGCAAAGTCTCAGCCCGATCGGTTTAAAATTGATAAAGTTTCATACAAACTTTCATTCCTTATTTTATCCCCTTGGGATTTTCTTTATATTTTTTTTCCGTAAGAACCTTGTACAGAGTATTAGAAAACTACAAAAAAAAACAGCCAAATCGGTCAAGCCGTTTTCATGTTATGTCGTGACAACGGAAAACGGGTTTCATTTTTATATATATAGATATGAAAACAGTCTCTGTTCTAAATTCAAAACTCGTAACTTTTCCCGATGTTTGTTGTACGTGTTTCCCGCGCTAGGACCGCGCATGCGTACGGTGCGGCGGGCGACGCGGTAATGGCAGCGCGGCACATGAAGTTGGTCGCTAAAGCGACCAACTTCATGGTGTTAATTTTTTGTGTTACATGATGCGCGCGCATCTTAAAATTTCATTCTCGACAATTTTTCAGAACGCGCCTAAAGAAGTATAACTTCAAAAATGGTGACCACTTTTTTTTAAATTATCACATTAGATGTTTTAACGTTGGCAATGAGCCAACTTCTTTAATAGCGGTTTTGAAGCATGGGTGTCGATAAAAGTACATTATACATCCTTTGCGGCCAAACTCGAGTCACTAACTTAGATTAAAACAAAAAGGGTAGATACGGTACGCTCATACTTGCATCAAACAAAAACTGATCCCACGGCAGCGCGAACGAGACTACCGACCAATCACGCGACCAGTACTCGACGTCACTACCGAGTGAGATTCAAAACAAACAGCAATTTTTATGAAAAAATATATTTTATAGTTCTTACGAACTATTAGTCTTATGAGCCAAGTGCTCAAGTTGTTCCTCACTATCATACACGAAAGCATAAGAGTGAGATGTGATGAACAACTTAGTGATAGCCAATTTGGATTTCGAGCCGGAGTAGGTACACGGGAAGCACTGTTTGCTGTACAGGTTCTAGTACAGATGTATAATGTAAAGATATGCAGCAAGACGTCTACCTCTGCTTTATAGATTACGAGAAAGCGTTCGATCGAGTTCTTCACGAGCGTTTAACGTGCATCTTAAGCGACATAGGACTCGACGGAAAAGACATCAGAGTTATTCAAAATCTGTACTGGAACCAACGTGCTTGTTCGTGTCGAGGGCGAAGAAACCAACGACGTAGTCATCAAAAGAGGTGTTAGACAAGGCTGTATTCTGTCACCCACACTTTTCAATTTATATTCTGAAGCTATCATATCTGAAGCTTTGACAGATCTAGACTACGGTATTAAAGTTAACGGGCGTATTATCAATAACCTCCGGTATGCTGATGATACTGTCCTCATGGCGTCTTTGGAGTCGGAACTTCAGGTGATAGTGGACCGTTTGAATGAGTGCAGTTTAAGGGCGGGACTAAGAATGAACGCACAAAAGATTTCTTGCCCACTGCCACCAAAATTTCTCTTGCAACTTCTCTTCTTCTACCTATTCTCGATTATGCAGATGTTTGTTATCCCTATCTTACCTATGATCTTCTAAGTAAACTTGAACGTCTGCAAAATTTTTCCATCAGATTCATTTACGGTCTACGTAAGTACGACCATGTTTCTTATTACAGGCAGAAATTGAAATGGCTTCCCATTCGTCGTCGCCGTGATCTGCATATATTATCCCTACTCTTCTCAATACTGTTCAATCCAAAAGCTCCTGTCTATCTCAAAGAACGTTTTCAGTTTCTTTCTTCTTCTCATAATCTTCCGCTTCGCTCATCTGACAATCTCCTGCTTTTCACACCTCCTAACTTTTCCAAGGCGTATAGCCACTCCTTTACCATACGTGCTATCCAACTATGGAATTCTCTGCCGGAAAAGATTAGGCGTGCCCAAACTCTATCCTGCTTCAAATCCCTAGTTAAGGAGCATTTCTTGTCAGATGAGCATAATTTTCATTAAAATATTGCTACGGTAGTAGTGCTGTTGCATTATATTGCGATATGTGTGAATGTCTGTGTATGCCTATATGTTTAGTTTGCGTTTATTTTGATTATTTTCAATTGACTACTTACAAAACTTTTGTCTTGTTTTCCGCACAACCTCCCTCATTATTATTATCGTGCTTTCTACTTTTTCCAGCTCATTGGGTTGTCTGGAAGAAATCGCTGATTAGCGATAAGACCGCCCTTTGTGCAACTGTAATTGTTTTGCCTTGTATTTGTATTTTTCATGTTATTTATGTTACTGTTGTGCAATAAAGTATTATTATCTTATCTTATCTTAAAAGACAAAAATCATGGTCATCTCAAAAGGAAATAATTTAAGTCCAAATATTAATGTCACCGGAGCAAAGCTTGACGTAGTGCGCAAATACAAATATTTAGGCACTTGGCTAACTGAAGACTGGGAAAGTGATATGGAAATAAAAACACGAATAGAGATCGCCCGCAATGCCTTTAACAAAATGAGATCAATACTGTCCAATCGCAATATCAGTATTCGCCTGCGCACTCGTCTACTTCAATGCTACATTTGGCCTATAGTCCTCTATGTTTGCGAAGCTTGGACTATTAAAGAGGACCTTCGTAGACGTATTGAGACTTTCGAAATGTGGATTTACCGACGTATGCTCTCAATCAGCTGGACTCAAAAAGTTAAAAATGTCGAAGTTCTAAGACGTGTCGGTCAAACTCGCAAATGGATGCAGACCATCAAAACAAGAAAAGTTGCCTACCTCGGTCATGTCTTCAGACACGAGAGATACGATTTACTGCAACTCATTAGGATGGGCAAAATTGCGGGGAAACGTCGAGTAGGCCGTCGGAAAAAGTCGTGGCTTCGAAACATCCGCAAGTGGACCGGTGTCAAGAGCGCCGCGGAATTGTTTCACCTCGCCAGGGACAAAGCGAGGTTTTCAAGGCTGATGACCAACCTTCAGTGATTGGAGAGGAACATGAAGAAGAAGAAGAAGAATGAAAAGTGATGTCGTGGGTTTTATTTTTAGTTCTTGAACAATTTGAGCACTTTTTAAAACACACTTAGGCATTGTTTTATCATATAAACACAAAATATTAGCAATATTTCTTTTTGGCGTTCACATGTACGTCGTTTGCATGTCAAGTTGTGACTAAAGCGATAAGGGTGGTGGACCACAATTTATGCGGAACACTTTTGTGAGGCTAGTGCCGTATCTACCCTTTTTGTTTTAATCTAAGGTCACTAACAGATAAAATTAGAATAAGACCTTTTATCTACATTTGCAGTCTAGAATTTGAAATTTGTCCGGTATCCATTTCCAGGTTACAACAAATACGACTTCTGGACGTCGGGTAACAACCTAGGCACTGACATGTACCTGTGGATGAGCACGGGGCTACCGTTCAACGCCACATTCAACTACATGCGGCGCGTGGCGATGGACGCGCCCGCCATGCACCCTGACGACAGTATCGACCCGCTCGACATGCCGCAGGGCAGCACGGCGCCCCAGCGCACCGCTAGGCATGGGTACGCTATTTTATTGAATATATTTTCCTTCATTCTCCTCTAGCCTATAAAGGCTTTCCATATCAGCTGCGCGAGGTAGCGGATGAGGTTAGAGTAGGTAACGAATGTATTTTTTAGAATTTTTGTCTGTATGTATGTCCGGGACAAACTTACTGCATGGATTTACTTCAAATTTGGCACGAATATTACTAAAAAGTCGGGTCATATAGGCTGCATATTATTACGCTATCACCTACGGGGAACGAGCAGTGAACTTTATTTCTAACTAACTCCATGCGTACGAAGTCGCGGGCGGCCGCTAGTATTAGAATATATTGAAAATTATCTGTCATGTCTGAATAACGATTTTTTTACGATATACAGGGCGTCCCACGGCTACCTCACACGGAGGGAAAGTATATTAAATATTGAAGATAGGATATTTTACTGAAAGAAGACATCGTTTTATTTTTAATATTAATTAGAAATGCATTCACAGATTTTTTAAAAATCGCCTGCTACAACTGGGATTCAAACTCGTGAAATTTCGAAAAAAAACCAGGACATATTTTAAGATAACCATCGAAAGGGTAAATCATAAGTATTATTATTTTGTACGTACGTATATTGTGTACGTTCTATTTATCATGTTTTAATTTACTTGTGTGTTTTTCTATGGTGTATAACAATAAAGAATATTATTATTATTATTTGCTAAATAAAATAGCATCTTAATTAAAAGAAAAGTAATTTAATTTAACATTTTATTCAAAATTATTTAACAAACTAATTTAAAATCGGGTACGCCTCAATAAGTTAAAATGTTTAGTTCATCATCGTTGACGTTTACCATCCGCTGCTGTGGTTTCTGTTAGCATATATCAAAACGTCCTAAATTTCTTAAAGTATCCACTAACCTTTTAAACAAACATCGAGAAGGTACGGTTCTATCAGGGTATCTTTCGCGGTACCACCGCAAAGCTAATATTATGTCTTTGTGGTTTATAAAGTAACCTTCCATTAAAACCATTTTATTTTGATACGCCATGGTAAGTAAATTAACAATAAAAATTCAAATAAAATTGCAGACGCTTGAAAATTTATGTGTTCCATTTTCGAATCATTATTTTTATAAATTTTAGCCAATCGCATTGTAACTGTGTGTTTAATAAGAAATGCATACGTGCTAATGAGTGATGTGCGTGAAAACCTAAGAAACAAATATATTCCTTTCATTTAAAATACTATGTTATTTAGAAAAAAATAATCTTTTTGATTAACCCTTTCGATAGTTATCATAAAATATGCTGTGTTTATTTTTTCAAAATTTCACGAGTTTGATTCCCCAGTTGTAGCAGGCGATTATTAGAAAATCTGTGAATGCAGTTCTTGTTATTATTAAAAATAAAATGATGTCTTCTTTCAGTAAAATCTCCTATCTTCAATATAGATACTTTCCCACCGTGTGAGGTAGCCGTGGGAAAAATAATCCTGTATATATTGTCAGGAACTACTGTAAATAGAAAATGGACTTCTACTTAAATGGATACGTATGCTATTGTGAACGTATTATTAATGGTAAACGTATTATTGATATATTATTAAATATAAGTCAACCCCTCGTTTTCCCATGGTAAAAACCAGTTACAGTAGATTTTTTATTATCTCGGGAAATTGATAGTTGTAGTTTTCCTACGTTATGCATGGATGCATCCCATGCTTAATACACGACATTAACTTTGACTAGCATATTAATTACATAACTAGCAAACCAGTGAACCAAATGTTCACCAAAACCTGATTTCTCGAAAACCGGAAGTGCTACGTTACTCAAATCCGGTTTGTAGTCTTATCAGACTATTCTTAACTTATAACTTAAATATTCTCTTTATCTATCTCTTACGGTTTGGCCGCTGAAACAGCACCACAGACAGACGGACTTGTCTAATAGATAAGAGACTAGCAAACCAGTGAACCAAATGTTCACCAAAACCTGATTTAAAAAAAATATATATGTATGTATTTAATTAATTGAGAACTTCGGAGATTTTGTGTGGTTTCGTTTGAAATTCGTGATTTCTTGAAAACCGGAAGTGCTACGTTACTCAAATCCGGTTTGTAGTCTTATCAGACTATTCTTAACTTATAACTTAAATATTCTCTTTATCTATCTCTTACGGTTTGGCCGCTGAAATAGCACCACAGACAGACGGACGGACGGACTTGTCTAATAGATAAGAGATTTTGTACCTACATCAGAACTTCATTTGGAATTATTAGAACTATGTGTATGTTTAAATTGATGTAGATAGTATCTTGTGTATGACGCACATTTATCGATCCATTCATCACCATTCCATAGACGATACAAAAATAGCATTTGTCAAAGACAAAGACATCCTTGAAGTATCAATTATAAGGTAACATTTTCAACCACCAGGTAACCTATTAAACAATACGGGTATCAAATGTTAAACAATATGTTTGATAAACGCTTATCTGATACTTTAACCCAAAACAAATGGCGTTTTCGTCACATAGTGTGCATTAGTATCTATTAATAACTAATTAAAAATAGTCGGTATTCCAGGACTGAACACGTGATGACGAACGGCTGCGTCGCCCTCAAAGCGCCCACATTCCACTGGGAGCCGCAGCACTGCGGAGAGATCAAGGACTTCATCTGCGAGCAGACGCGTTGCTACTACTACAACTATGGCTCCATCCCCGTGTCTTCCGCGCAGGGGTAATGACAGGTGAGATGCCAGCTGTCTCCGGAGGCCCGTTCCCAGGAAGCCGCGCGCTTTCACAACACAACCACATAAATATACTTCACATATCGCTCTTTACGCTCTAGTAGTATGTGCTAACAATAGCTTAGTATTTCCGAGTTTAGACACTAGCGCGCGGGCCCGCGGGACTAGGCCTCTGCGCAAACCCAACCACCAAACAAGGGCCCTACACCCAGAAGAATTTCGGTCAGTCACTTTTCTGTTTGCTGTTCTATTACGGTACCTATACGATTCAAAATTCACAAATTTGGTGGGTGGGTGAGGGGGCTTTGCTTGGTATCTCTAGTTTTTGTTGTCTTAAGGTTAAGACTTATATTTTGTCTTTAAAGAAATTCTGTTAAACTTAATAAGGACTAATATTTGACTGATCTTAAAACAAATAACATTGCCTCAATTATTTCACAGTATTTTAGTCAGTTATTTTGTATTGAATTTAACCGTGATACGTTATCATCATAAGTGCATGGATGAGCCTCTCAATCTCTTCGACAGAAAGCCGCTCTCGTTGACGACCACAACCACCGCGCACCCGCTCACATCTTCGTCACCTCCGCCACCGATCAACGAGCACCTGCCTACACACTTCACACTGAACGACCTCATCGGAAAGATGCGCCCCTCGTCTCTCGACGGCTTGGAGTCTCCTCACCTAAAGTCGGGTGCACTTCTCAAGTCGAATCCGCAGATTGATTCTCACTACTCGCGGGCTTCGGATGCGCATGCTCGTGATCATGATCATGAGGAGAAGGAAGAGCCTACGCAAGGCCCGTATGAGGACGACGAGGGAATGATGGTTGGCGATGATCCTGCAGCATATTTGGCGAAGGAGGCGCGCGAGGCTCCAGTTGAAGACCCATCAACTGCCGAACCGGACGCTACAGAACATTCCGTCCACGCCAGCGGCATGCTGGCACCTCCCGCCTATTAGCGTCCATAACGGCATAAGCTTTAGTGTTCTATCCTTATGACAATTAGGTATTGCGACTACCAAAAGTATTATTTTTGTATAACACAGACACTCAAGGGTGCTTAAGATTAGGAGCTTGCGTGCAGTGGGTGCATTTGGTTAAATCGATATATGCAAATGGTTTTGTAATTTTTGAGTTCATCAACGAAAGATTGTTATTATTGGTGATCTTCGATGGTTTCTTTGGGGCAATATCAAACGTGAAGGTGCTGGCGACTCGCCGTAAGCGACTTGCCTCCGTCTTCAAAAAACGGTGAATATCACAAAATGACTATTCTACAAAACTTAGGTACCTAAACTTCGCTAGGATAGTTAAGCCGAGTTTTAGATCTCTCTGTTTCCGTTTAAACCGTAATGTATTAATGTAATTTAAGAAAATTATGCAGATAATTATTTTTCGGGACATATCACTGGAAATAGAACTATAAAATAGTGTTTATATGCGTGACATACCTAGGTAAGTGTATTAAGTTGAATCTCAAGAATTTAAAGATAGTGATGTAGCGAAGGAAATAAAGTTTAAACTTTGTAAAATTGCTGTTTCATTTTATACTGATATTTTAGTGGCTGTCTTATGAACACCTGGTCCTATGTGTGCGTAATCTCTTAGGCGCAACGTATATATCGGGAGAGGTGCAGCGAAGATACTGAGATGTTAACAATTTAAGTTAAATCCTAGTTCCTATATAAGTTTAAAAAAATTAATGGCAAACATGAAACAACGACGCGGCCATGAGAGCCGGCGAGCGACTACTCCGCTCCGTGGCTCTAGGTTGCACTTAGTCGCCGCGCGGCGTCGTGGCTCTTGGCCACGCTTGTAGTCGCCGCACTTAGTATCTAGGCCGCGTCTTAAACTCTTCGATATAAGACTTTCAATGACTATATCTCTTTGATAGAAAAACTTAAATAATTTCCGAAAGGTGAATTTCGGTCAATATGTGACCACTACTTAATACGTACCAGCCGTTAATGACGCCCTCTACGTTGAGCATCGGCACGATCTTGAACACGTACTTAGTCCGTAAGGCTGCAGCAGCCGCGGTGTCACCTAGCAAGCAACCGAGGGTACCATCCATCACCCAGGAAGCATTGCTCTCGCCCGGGTGCACGCGCGCCGTTAGGAATATAATCTCTCTATCCTGCGGGAAAGACGTGATTCTTGTAAGTCATTTAAACAAGCTACGTGGAGCAAGGCTACAGCAGCCGCGATGTCACCCAGCAAGCGGCCGAGGGTAGCATCAATCACCCAGGGAGCATTGGTCTTGCCCGGGTGCATACGCGCTGTTAAGATTATAATCTCTTTGTTCTGTGGGGAAAAGGTGACTGTTGTCATGTGTTTAAACTATTTTCTAAACTACTTTTCTGTTGTATGGGTAAAAGTTTACTAGGAAATGCGCAGATCTAACACAGTAAACGGTACAGATAGTGGTAGCCAGGTTTATATACAATATTACTTCTATGTCAAATTATCGATTATTATAAACACCACTTTATCAAGTTGCCTAATAAATAATTCATAAATTTTTATCTCCTGATCGATCTCCATTGCTGGTCTGAAAGAAAAAATAAACAAATGCTTCCGCTGATAATTTTTCCGAGTGAATAATATATGCCTATCAATGGGCAAAGAAACGGTAGGAACTGTTATACAATGGTCTTGTACTCTGATACTATTTTCGCCCAACATCTTACTTTTGGAGTACTCCTAACCAATGCCAAGTGCGAAGTCATTGAGGTATGAGACGATATTTGTCCCAATATATGATACATAATATAAAATCTGGTTTATGTAGTATCTTCATAACCCGCAAGTTATAGGTATAAGTATAATATATAGTCGAAAAATTATGGCATCATCATCATCATCGTCAGGGACGTAAAATTCGTTGAACATTTGTCAAAATTATTAAATAGTTAACATTCCTTCTTCTGACCATTACCTAGTCTTTTGAAATGTAATGTTAAAAACAGATGAGTGTACTGTTTCCATGAATATTTTTTGTTGGACTTACCACAATTGGACTGGTCGGCGTATCATCAGCGGAGATGGTAACGAGTGGCACTTCGTTGTTGTTGAGGGAGTAGCAGAGCGGCTCCACCCGGAGATACGCTCCGGCTGGCAGCTGCAAACTCCATTGCCAGATACGAGTCTATAAAAATGTAAAAAAAGCCTTTGCAACAAAGTTCTCAAATCGTTTAAAAGTGAAAGCCCAAGCGGATATTTTGGGATTTACTTTGGCAGAATAACATAAGGAGGCAATCTCGCACCTTGTTAAGGACTCTCACCGTACCTGAGCCCGCTTTGTAGGGCCCGTAGGTACGTGTAGGACCGCAAAACAAAATTTCAACACACGACTGTCGATGTCTTTTGGTCGCCTCCAAATTGTCAGCCTTTTGAATAGAAGCTACTGGAGGGTTTACATATGTTGTTATACTGCCGCGCTAGAGTTAAACCTTAAATCTCCGTTTGGGCTCCACTACCATAATAATATTTAAGCCAAATCCTATCTCCAATAGACTTAAAAAAAAAACAATAAAAATGAAATTATGTGTTAAATGCTACACAGGATTCAGCCTGAATTAAAAATTGAGAATTTCGGTGCAAATGGCCCTTCAAGTTTAATTATCGTTTTTTTAATTCAAATATTGTTTAATATAGCTAACAGCACATCCTAAACAGTAGGTATATTTTTGTCACCAATAAATAGGATTGGCGACAAAAACCAGGACACTTCTTTAAAATAATAGATTTAAAAAGCTGGATAATTAAGTAAATGCAGAATATGTTTGAATGTTATGTAATTTATTTTTATAAAGATCTGTCAGGTTAAAATACTAACCATCATCATAGAATAAGTGAATGGAAAGTGATAAGCGAGGTAGCACACATCGTTGGAGTGCGGAAATTCAATATTGAAGGTGACGGTGAGGTAACATTTGGTATGGTTCTTCTGGTTTGCGTAGTGGTAGCTATTGCGGTAATAGCAGATGTCGGATCCTGTCCGGACCCAACCTGGAATTATAAACAAGTCCTATGATTACGAGACTAACAATAAAAGTCTTAATAATAATAATTTATCTGCCAAAATACAGTTCACAAGTTGATACATTTTATAGCAGTAAGTACATGTATTCTACCTGCAGGCAGGTGTGCAAATATTGTAGTCAGCTATTTTGTCATCTGTCATATATTCCCTAATACTATAATAACATTTTGTTTGTAAAATATAAAGGTAAAATAGATGGTAGGTAAACAGGTAGATAATCTTAAGTTGACCGTTAAGAAATATAATTAAAGTTAATATCTATTTTAGGATCGTATAGAATTAACAATCATTCTAATATTCCTTTGAACAATAACACGAACTTTAAAGTTTGTAAAAACACAAACAATCACACTTTTATTACAAAGGCGAAAGTTTGTGAGTGTGTGTGTATGTTTGTTACTTTTTCACGACTAAACGGCTGGAGCGATTTTAATAAAATTTGATATGGAGTTAGCTGACACCCTGGATTAACATATAGGCTACGTTTTACTGCGGGAAAATATCCCTAATAAACCACGGGTAACACCGCGGGGTACAGCTAGTAACTAATTTTAAATGACGTAACTTGAATTTTGAGGTATTTTTGTTGGAAGAATAGGTTATTCAGATATTCAAAATTGTATGTTTTTAAGAAAATATCCCGTGTGTTTTTCATTTTTATACTATATTCTTTGTGATACCAACGCATGTTAATGGAACAGTTTTTATCAGGGTTTAATTTACTGTTACCGTTCAAATTAAAAGATAGATTGCTATTCATCTCCGCGCTTGATACTTGAAACTTGAAGTGACCACTTCGTGACCATGATACTAATACAAAAGTATATCTAATATATAAAATTCTCTTGTCACGGTGTGCGTAATTGAGTTACTCCGAAACGGCTCGCCCGGTTTTCGTGAAATTTTATATGCATATTCAGTAGCTCTGCGAATCGGACAACATTTATTTTTCATCCCCCGTATATGTTAAGGGTAAAAATTTTTTTTTTGTCATTTTTTTTATGATACATCATACAAAAATACATACAACCCTAAATTTTCACCCCTTCTATCAACAACCCCTATTTTTTATGGCGGTACGAAGTTCGCTGGGACAGCTAGTTATTTATAAAAATCAACTAAACTAATTAAACAGATAACTTTACATAATGTGATTTAATAAATAAGATACCTGGCTTCCCTAAAACGGCTTCTTTCACAGAATACATGACTGGTTTCATGCCGAAGTTAAACTGGCTGTCAGACTTCTCGCAGTTGACGATGTTGAAGATGTACGGCCGCCCCTGTTGCATGTTGCGCACCTCGAAGTAGAACCATTGGTGCCTTTTGGTGGAGTTGACGTCAGGCATTAGGATCAGCTCGTACTCTCTCGGACCTACCTGAAGGGAGAACAGTGATAACCGAACAAGGTAGAAATATAACCAAGCAACAATAAAAATTTCCATAAACAAGCAGAACACAATAATTTTGTTTATGTCTGGGGTTCCATTCAAATAAATCAAGATGAACTTTATTTTCTTACTAGCGGCCGCCTTCGACGTCATCCGCATTTAAAAAAAAACCCCCAGAAACCATTTTTTCGGGATCTAAAGTCTTGTCTCAATCCAGGTCATAAACCACATATCATAAAACATATATCTGTACCAAATTTCATCCAAATCCGTTCAGTAGTTTTTTGTGTTTGAGTAACAAACATACAAACACATTTATATTATTTAGGACATATAATAAGTTTTGAAGGGTTCCGTAGCCAAGTGGCAACAAACAGAACTCTTATGGATTCGTCATGTCTGTCTGTCCATCTGTATGTCACAGCCACTTTTTTCCGAAACTATAAGAACTACTATTGAAACTTGGTAAGTAGATGTATTCTGTGAACCGCATTAAGATTTTCGCACAAAAATAGAGAAAAAAACAATAAATTTTGGGGGTTCCCCCTGCTTAGAACTGAAACTCCAAAAAATTTTTTTCATCTATCCCATACGTTTGGGATTTCTATGGACAGGTCTTCAAAAATGATATTGAGATTTCTCATATATTTTTTTACTAAATTGAATAGACTTCTAACATAAGGAAATGTTGAAACAAAAAAAAATATATATGAGGTAAATTATCATGCAAGCTTCCACCGAAAATTAGTTTAAACGACATCTAGTAAGTAATTTTTTTTAGTACGTTATAAATAGTAAACCGCAATTTACCTTTCATTTAATCAACTCAACTTTACTTATCAATAACTTAATAAAAAAAATATACTATTATTAAAACATCGATCAAAGGTACAACGAACTATAAGAACTTTCATATTATGTTACTTGCTGCTACGATACCCTTCATGGGCGAGTCCAATTCGCACTTGGCTTTTTTTTATCTTCTTACTAGATTTGTCACAATAGGATAACATTTAAAAAGAGAGAGATTCAAATGACATTTACCTGAATAACTTTTCTCAGATTACCAGACTCAAATCTAGATTCAAAACTCAGTCGAGATGAAAAGCAGTTAAGTTTAGTAATTTCTTGCTCGTCGTTATTTGTGAGGATTAAACCGTCGGTACTGTAAATGAAAAAGGTGAGTATTTTATTTCAACTTATGAAGTACTTAAAATATCCAAAACTTATGCCAATTAGTTCGTCACAAATATCATCATATTGTTATGGTTTCTAAAACAAGAAACTATCTTAATGAAGTTAGATATTTGAAATGAGAAATGTTATTTGACTCTGACCTTTTCTGTGTGGCATTGTCTGGCAGATTTCCAGAACTGCAAATTTGATCTAAGTCGTATACAACTTCATTCATATAAGCTTCAGGATTTATTGCTCGGTCTACACAGGACAGAAGTTTCATTCTGAAATTCATGAGTAATTAAGTAAGTTAATATAGGTATAATGGCAAATGAGGTTTACAAAAATAAAAAAAGAACTTGTGCAGTGTGCACTATTCATGTAATTTAATATTTATCATACAGTATTTTATATTATTTAAATCATAAGAGTTTAAGATTATACCTGCAAGCCGTCCGTTCCATTTTATTGAGTGGTTCTGGCTGAATGTGACCTTGAGCTGCCATCATGTCAGGATAAGCAACTTTAACGAACGGTATTACACTTTTCACTCTTGAAGAAATCGTACAATATACAGATGCAAAAGAACTGTATTTAGATATATCTTTGTGTATTTTAAGGGATGAGTTTGAGGTAGTTGCTGAAAGAAGGGAAATTCAGGATGCAACGTTACTAAGGACTGCATCATAAAGGCCACGTTGTTTGATACATAGTTAAATCTTTATTTAAAATGCTATAGAAATAGTGTCATTTTGTCAAGTTTTACATATTTTACTATGTATTTGACCACGCGGCCTTATGATGATTGACATTACTTTTTATTATTTCGATAGTAAAGGTTAAAATTTTTATTTGATCCTGCTACTAAATACTCATGTAAATAGATTAGACCTTGTCTGTAAACGAATGTTTAGAATCCACAAGGAAGCTTTAATGGCATAAAAATTTCAGAACTGTTTTATTTAACCAATGCGACAGTTAGTCTCCTTCACAATTGAAAATAGAAATATGGTAGGCTATGACGAAAAAAAATATTCGAGATAGTAATCTTTAAAAATTTAATCGTATTTAATATGTACATACTATTTTAAATATTACCCATGCTGGACTGGCAGTGAAAGAAAAACTTAGAATACATGAACGGCAAAATTTACAGTGCAGATAGGAAAATCTTATCAAAGGACAGGACATATTCGGAAACTATTGAAGAAAAGTTGTCAGCATAATATTATAATCTTCGAACAATAACTGCAAAATCCACGAGGAACGGATTTTAGTCTCAAAGCTGCACCTTTGATCTATAAATTAATTTAATGCGATAATTTAAATCATAAGCAAAGAGTTTAAGTTTAGTAGTTTTTACTTACAAGTGCTTTCATGAACTCTATGACATCCTTGAAATTGTGATACAGATGGCGAACCAGTGTAAACGTTATCATAGTCCGTGTTCCCCAATACAGCTGTGAGAGACAAATTTAAAGGTGACGTCAACGCTTTAGTACCTCCTGACTGGTTACCGAGAAAATCCTCTAGGATGGAGCCTCGAGAATTCGATCTACTTTTCACGAATCTCACTTGTTTATTATAAGAGCCAAACTCTTTAAAGAAAATAAAATATCTGGAAAAAAATAGTAAAGATATAATAATTACATGTATTCAGTTGTAATCGATTTTTGTGATAAATCCTAAACTAACTTTTTTAAGTCTTCTATATCTCTCTCGTTTGGATTTATCCACAGTGAGCTCTGCATGCTATCTCCCCCTTTCATAAACGCCTTATCTTCACCAATATTATCTAATTTCATTTCATTTTCGTCGAAATCTATATCAGGAAATTCATCGATTCCGTCTACATCTAGGTCCGGACCATCATCATCATCATTGTCCGAAGTAACAGTCTTTGTATCCGAATTGGCTGCATCTTCTTCGTCCTCGTGGCAAGGCCACAAAGTATTTGTACCTGTGAAATAAGTATTTCTGTAGCTCTGTTAATGTTTGCATATATTTTATATCATTAGTTTGTAATTATAAGAATTAAACATCTAGCAGTTAAATGCTTAACAAAATATTAGAATACGCAGTTAAGTTATAGAAGAGCGCATTTCAAAAGTAAGATATGAAATGTATGAACCGTTTAGATGTCAATGGATAAAAAAAACGTAAATGGTATTATAAGAGTACAAAACTGTAAAAGCTTTAACCTTTTCTGATATTTAAACGGACGGATATACAATTAAAAATATATGAAACTAATAAAAGTAATTGTAAAATATAAACATCCGGGGGAAAAAATCAAAAAGTTTTATATCTATTCCAAACATAAAGAGATAAAAAGTAAATATAATGATTACCTTTAAGTATAGGATTGAGATTAAACGCAGCAGGACTGGATGTAGGCACTGGTAGAGCTTGGTGCTTCAGACAGAGTGTGATAACTGAGCATACCCGTGCCAATAGTCCATCGAACTCTGGCTCATCTGGGCACTGTGAGCAGAATCGGTGAAGCGTTTGCACGTGTTTTTTTGTACATAAAGCACGTCGTCCAGCTTCTATAAAGTGTACGAGAAGTTATGTCAATTTTTACAATATGGGGACAAAAATTAAGTCCTCTTGATACTATTGTTATTTGACGAACTAATGGTGAGTGTATACATGCTTCTATATTTGAATAACATTTTTCACTAAGATAAATTAACCATTAACATTCAATGCGAAGAAGTAAGTCTTGTTTATAATATCAATTCAGAAATACCTACGTAACTTGTATATACATACTTATATTGCAAAGGTGCTGCAATGTCTGCAGTATGTGGGCGCAAATCTTGAGTCTCATGCGTCCTTCGTAACGGTCCCACCGATCAAACACCCTGAGGAGCACGCTACATAGCCCTGTCTTCACGATCTGCATGCAGCACACCTCTGTGTGAGTTACGCACGTGTGATTCAAGAGTAGTAGTATGACACATTAGACATGCAAACAAAATGTCAACAAAGGACGAGGTCGTAACATTAAGCTATTGCGTCTATTACTATGTAGGTGGACAGACAGATGCATATTTCGTTCAGTGGTATCTATCATTCGGGTGTCACAGTCTTATGTTGTGAATGTTGCGTGTGCTTGTTCCATTGTATTCGAGTGACATTTACTTAGAAATAATTAATCACATTAATGATAGAATCATTGAACATTCAAAAATATTATGGCTTAATGTTCGTTACCACTTAACTGTTTCTGCTGAAGTAATCGATTGCATCTAGGCACAGGCGGAGTCTAGCCGTTGGGATGAATCCCAAACTGACCAACACTCTTTCATATGTCCCTACTATACCATCACGTATTAAAATTGACGTTGTAACAGCTGAAAGTAAACAAAAAACTTGTAAATATTTTTAACTGAATATTTTAAAGTATAGAAATATGTATCTGGTCCTCATTTTTACCATTTTTTGCTAACTGTTTCATTATTACTAATAATGGAAAAATCAATTTATTGTCTGTAAAATGTCCTTTCAGTATAAGATGCATTGTTCTCACGCAGCCTAACATTCTTACTTTCATTGCGAATTTGGGATCTGAAAGAAAAGTTTTTATTATCATATATTATATTTATATTATTAGCTTTTGTATATTGTATGGGTGACGAGGAACTCATAAGCACATCCACGATCACGGAAGTTAAATGAACTTTCGGAACGGTTGGTTATGGAATTTGCAATATGAATAATCTTGTGGTCCTTCGTGCTTCGGTATGCACGTTAAATCATTGATCCCAAAAGCATCTGCAGGCGTTAGCAATCACCCGCGTGGTGGGATATCTATAACTAGTTCTACAGGAACAGATTTATACTCTGTGGAAGGAATATAATAAGCAGTGAGAAATGTTTGGAGATTTCCGAATTCGGTGTCCTATCCTAAGAATGGAAAGCAAAGACAAAAGTACTTCAGCAATATGCTGATTAAATATTTAAAACTATAGGCATTTACGGCTGATCGTAAATAGGAAATTACTATTAATTTTCTAGGTATATGAAGATTGTAAAAAGTACTAGCTGTAACCTCTAGAGCCAAGGGGTGCTAAAATCCAGATAAGGTCTTGTAATATCATGTCGGTGCCAGCATGTCGTTCTCGTTTGTCGTGCATTGTACCAAGGACTTTCCTCAGGATCACTTGAGTGCCCTTCATTTCGATAAAGCTTTGCGCTGCTTGCTGCCGCACGATGTTGTTCGCTGGAACGAAGTAAAAGGGGCTTAAGCCTCACCGTACCTTTGGGGGCGAGTGAGGCAAGAATCCAAATGAGGTCTTGGAGCATTAACTCGGTGCTGACGCTGCTGTCACGCTTGCCTTGAGTCACAATTAAAGTGCGAATCACCGCTTGCGACCCGTTTATAGATATGAAGTGTTGGGCGCATTGCTGACGTGCTAGGTTGTTTGCTGAAATTTCATTTCGTTTATTTTTAAATCAATCTGATAAATATCCTTGAACATGCAGTGCACCATCTTTTAAAGTGAAGGATTGAATTATGATTTATTATTGGGTTAAAACCTTAACCGTAATAGAAAGGTTTTGAACAAAATACATAAGTAAGAGCTTGCAATTTTTGCAAACAAAAGCAGCTTAATAATACCCAAAATATGATAATTCTATTATAGTCACAGGTGTGATGTTACAAAATTAGCGTCATCGATATCATAATCCGTAAATACTCTAAATGTATAAGTTAATTCAATTGAGCACAACGGTGCGGGGAAGTAATAATCGGATTATAATCTTGCCAGCGTTACAAATTACAAGGCCATGTTATCGCATTGTTAGGTACATATTTGTGAGCTCGTCTTAAATGTCAGTAAGCAGGCCTACATAGGCGTTTACATTACCGCAACTAGTAAAGCAAACAATATTGATTTCAACTTGATATCTTTAGTATTGATAATCAATCATACAAAAGCTAATGTTACTTGTTGGCTTCGAAGATATTTTGTTAGGAGCATGCATAAAATGTTGTTTTACTTGTTGTAGTTCCGATTTAATAAAAAAGCAAAGCTGTTGTCTTGTCATTGAAGCGCCACACGTTGGACATACCCTTTTTGACAAATGGCGCTTTATTTTCCTTGCCCGATTTTTTGTTATCTTTCTTCTTGGTTGGTAGTGGTTCATTGGGAACTAGTTCATTAAACGTTAATTTAATAAAGTTTTTTCAATTCATACCCTTTCAATACTATATGAAAACATTTAATAATTACCTGAGCATTTCTTTCCTTTACCCTGTTTTAAACAAAGAGTTTCCCTTAATATTGAAGTTATGTAGGTAGATGTAGCTGTGTCTCTGGTGTTCTGAAACAGGTATTTGGTTGTCGTCAAAAGTACATTCAAAACACTCTAAAGATTGTAGCAGACATATCAACTTGGAAAGCGATCATCTCCGTATCAAGTCGAGCCGTTCAGTATTTTTTGTATAAAACTCCCTACTGCAACGCACACTAATCAGAGGAGGAAAAAACTGGCTCTTTCCATACAAAATTTGACGTTAACAATACGAATACGGAGCTGTCAAAATACGTACTTGAGCCTTTGAACCGGACAAGCTCATGTCCCGAGGCGAGGCGATTACCTTACGATTCCGGTTAGTGTGCGTTGCAGTTTCATACCAATAATACTGATCGGTTCGTATTGATACTGTGACGATCACTTTTAGAGTTGATATGTCTGCTACGACCATAAGAGGTCTAATTAAAAATCAAAACAAAAGAGTAGTATTTTCTTCTTACTTCCAATATTGAAAGTAGCATTTGAATAGCACCCGATTGCTTATTCCATAGCTTGTCCAATGTGTTTTGGCGTACATGTTTATCTAGAACAAAATGTACAATGTTATTTTTGTTTGTTTGTATTACCTACTATAGGAAATTGATACCAAAATATTTGTTACATCGCATCATCTTCAGGATTTTTAATGAGTATTCAGGTAATTGGTACCACATCAAAACATATTACGTATCTTTATCAGAACAGTGGTTTCATAGCATAGTAATGCACGAGTACATTCACTGTAATGGCATCGGCTTTATTCACATAGATTCAATCGTCTCCTAAACATAACTTTTCAGGGACTATGAAACTTAGTTTTTACTTCCTTGACGGGAAAGAGTACGTTTAAAAAATATGTTTCGGGAAGTAACGTTTTGTTATTCAATACAGCAAGAGATTGTAAGGCTTACAGCCGCTCGCGAGCGCTAAGCTTCCGCGAGATGTTTTGTTGTAGCCCGAGAGACAAGCGGAGGTCGCCTAGTGGTCTTTCGTCCGAGTTGAGCCATCTAAAATATTGTCTTCGTAAATAACAACATTCCCGCATAATTGCTCTACCGGGCACTAACGAGGTTACAACTACGAGACGCACCCCGTTTTTGCCGATTTAATTTCGGTGTTATTGAGGAACCATTTGTAAGTTCAATTAAGTTTTTACGAAACATTTTAAAGCTCTACAGATAGGTATGTATGTAAATTTAATAGTACCAATAAACAAAGTCTAATGGGCCATGATGTTGTTGTTGATATCATTGTCGAAAATATATATTTTTATTTCCTGTTTTAATCTCATCTTTAAATGCATTCACGATCTTAAGTTCTTTTTGGATATTTCTATAAAGAAAGTTTTCAATTAAACATTATAAATAAGAGGAGCTCGATGGCACAAGTGGTTAGAGCGTTCGGCTGCGATCGTTGAAGTTAAGCAACTTTCGCAGTGGTCGGTCATTAGATGCATGACCAAAAATTTACTATCTCGAGCTCCTCCTTGATTCGGAAGGCACGTTAAGTCGTTGGTCCCGGCTGCATCTGCAGTCGTTAGCACCCACCAATCCGCACTGGGCCCGCGTGGTGGGTCATGGCCCAATCTCCCTATTCCATCCTAAGGAAGGCCTGTGCCCCAGCAGAGCGGACTTAAATAGGCTAGTGATGATGATGATGATTGTTAATAGAGATTTATTGAGTCAATATTAATCACTTTGTTGTTTATAATTCTTCAAAGGTGCAGATAGTTTCATATAATAAAAAATAAACATAAATCTGTCTTGTAACCATTCAGTAAACATAGTTTCTGAGACGTGCCAAAATAGTTGTAGTTTGATTGTGTACTCTACACATTACATCCCAGTGTTAATGATAAATTAGTATTACTGTAACGATAATACGGAAATGTGTTTAAATCAATCCAAGTATTGACGTATATACATACTTCTTTAGTACGTTGCACGTAATGATAGGCCATTTGTCAAAGTTAGGGTTGCCAACAGTTATCGTTAGGAACTATTCAAAATAATAGCTGTCTCTAGGGCTTCCACACAATATAGTAATATAAGTTATTTACGGGATTGTTACCATGTACCTTGTTTTTAGCGAGTTTCCGATATTTCGGCACAATGAAAGGAGATTGCTCAAATTGGCCTAAATGCACAAAAAATATTGACATACACGAAAATTCTTGACGTAATTTATAATTAAATTTACAGTCATTAGATTTCAACGGACACCTTTGTATAATATATTTACTTTCAAAAGGACTTTGAATTTTACCGGTTTGGAAAACATACAAATCATTTTTAATGGCTATGGGTGTAGTAACATTCAGCCAAAGACTTATCGAAGTTGTTTATATAACATAAAAACAAATCTATTTTGTAAAGATCGATAAAATAAATCATTTTTTTATTACACTATGGTATCAATATCCACAACTATATTATCATTTTCACAAGATGCAAATGTGCTCAGACAATTATTATAGATGGTAGGCGACATAATAAAGTCTATTGCCATACATTTTTCGCCAAACACCTCCATAAACACATTATAATCTGTATATACTATGTTAGACTTTAAGGTATCTATCTAAGGGCCTACGTTCCCTGACTATAACTTAATAAATAAATAAAATTATAAGGTGTGATACACTAAAAATTTAAAATATGGTTATCTTAAAAACATAAAAAATAATGAAGCTACTGAATATATGGCTATAGAACCTAAATCTCTTAGCTTTCTTTGGTTAACGAGAGTTTAAAAATTCTCTCTAATCTGTGGCTCATTCACAATCATCACACAGTTTCTGTCACAGAGTACCTTATTATAACTGGAAATGACACCTGATTTTAAAAGTTACTCTTATGCATTAACTTTAAAAACAGGCAACTATCTGTTAATCTGCATGCTCTATATACCTGAATCTAATCCATAATTTCGGTACTTGGCTTGATTTCCCTAGTTTACTATATAACTTATTTGTTTTTTATTATTTTAATATGTTCGTTCAGTGTATATGGTTTATAGAAGTTCTCAGGGGTGTCCGTCAATAATATTCGTTTCTACAGTAATTTATATATAATTTCGAATCTAGGAAACAATTTTTCATGATTATTGGTCTTTAGGCCAAACATGTATGGAAGCTGAGCAATCTCCTTTAAAACAATATATTCCAGACAATATTTTTTTAATTAAAATATTAATAGTTCAAATTATAAATGGAAAGACATTGCGAATTTTTAGACCACAACCACAATGTAGCGCTCATCTGGAGAAGTAGCCTTAATCTTACAGAGATACCTACCACAGCAAAATAACTAACTTTTAGTGTTACTGTATTTTTGTAGATGAGTTAGGTTCCAGGGGGCCATTCGCCTAACGGAAATGCTTTGGAAAACGCTAACGCTTACTTAACGATTTCATTTTGATATTTTTACAGCCGCCTGAGGTTTTCAAATACCTCGCACTCCTTTTTTTTCTATTGCATTGGTAATAACAATATTAAAAAAATGAGTGTGAGGTATTTGAAAACCTTCGGCGGTCAGAAATAAGAAAATAAAATCGAAAGCGTTAGCGTTTTCCAAAGCATTTCTGTTAGGCGAATGGCCCTCAGGGCTGTACGGGATATGGAATTCAGGCTGGTAAGGTGAGAATGGCTAGAGCGGTACCGGTTTTCTACCGAATCAGCTACTGCTACACTTCGCAACTAGACTACTTCACATACAGTTACTTTCAGACAGATTGAGGTAATTGAATTGCACTTTGATATAAAAACAAAAAAACTAGCGAATCTGACAGACATTGTTCTGACCGTTTTTTTACGAAGTGTATTCAATCTCAGGCTATGGTGTGATGAAGGGAAATAGGAATTCATTTGTAGTTGACAATTATAATATTACGTCGGTATTGACTGTTGGTCTTGGTCGTGTTTAGCTGGCACCCAGCCAACGCGCCACGCGCGGTGTCGCTACGTCAACAAAACTTTAAACAAGGGCTGTCACTTTACATCAATAGAACGATGTTGCAGGTTGCATGCTTAGGCCTTGTAAAACGATGCTATTATTCGTTCGCAATTTTGTAACTACATATGAATGAATACAACCTCGATGCTAATATCGATAAGATGGGAAGTTACTGCGATATTAGGAACAATGGTATAGTAATGCAATGATTTAGTTTAATTTACCTTCCTACAGATAAATATTCGACTTTTCGACTCTTAAGTCGAATTTGATATCTTAGTATCAAATACACTTCCATAACTTTTGGGTCAAAATGATGGTAAAATCAGAAAACAGTTTCTGTTTTATTTTTTTTGGTTGACGACACCCTATCTACTCAACAATGTCGTATGAAGTGTGTATTTTGTTAATTAAATTTTGAAAAACTCATTATTTTCATTTTCGTTTGGAATAATGATTTTTACATGAATCTACGCCAAATGACGTATCTTTAGACGGAGCTAGCAACATCCAAAGAAACAAACGCGGTATAGTACAGCTTTCAGTCAGATGTTCTCAAGGTTGTTGCATCAATAAAATTGTTGCTGGTAAACAGCTGTGGAAAAACGGTTGCTACTAAAACATTATAAGGGTAGCAGTCCATTTATAACTTAAAACTTTCATGAAGGCCTTCTGAAATGATTTTGTAAACTAGCTTTTATGTAGCTTCCAATTTTCAGGATAAATTAAAAACAATCATTCGTAGACCTCAACTATGTTTAAAATTCGAATTGTCTGAGTATTTGGTGGGTACGTATCATTATATTCAGAGATATGTAATAATAGGGATGATGACTATTTTTTTTTTCTTCGTTTGTCAGGTAGATTATCAAAAAGTATTGGACACGTATTTTTTCTTTTTTCACATAATATAAACATTGCAGAGATATATTGATTTGAAAAGTCGCATGACGTCACGTTTTGGTAAAATTTTCACTTAAAAGTGACGTCACGAGCCCCTACTCAAAAACTTTGACGTGCTATAACTTTCGTCATTTTTTGGTTGATTGCCCAAAGAAAAAATACGTGTCCATTATTTTTTTATCATCTAACTGACGGACTAAATAGAATTTCGTTTACTGTACCCCGTCATCACCCCTATTCACTAGGAGACCAGGATATACATTCTGTGGGGACTTTTGACTAATTTTTGTTGGTTTGAGCGTGAAGTTTTTGACAACATAGGCAATGTTTTATTGAGAATTTAAAGACTACTAGCGTCTACGTATTACCAATTTTATCTTTCTGACTTTATCTTTGTGTGAAAGATTTTCTAAGCACGTTTGTTTCCAGCGAGATCTGTCAAGTGCTTCTGAACGGTGTGGGCTGTTTTATGAATGAAGCAAATCTGTGTCACCATAATTAGTTATAGATTAAATAAAAGAGAAGGACAAAAATAAGCTCGACTGCCAAGCGTGGGAATATGATAACGATATTATTAAATGCTTCAGCACAACTGTTGGAACAATTTATAACAAAATCTTTGGTAGACATTACGAAATCAAAATAATTTAGGAAGGGCAGCAGGGCAAAGTCAAAATTAGAAATGGAT